TATATATATATATATATATATATACACAATATGTGTGTGTAAAAGGTGTTGTTTTTGTATGACAATCCACTGACAAGGATGCCAGCAATGCCAGCACAACGTTATGATGTCACACACGCTGTTGAGTTTAGATTTGTAAAAATTTACAAATTTGCACTATTCAAGTGTTGTCATTGTGTTAGAGAGTATATGTCATGAATAAATTTGACATTAAATATAATTCAAGTTGAAGTGTTGCATCATTTTCAGCCTTTTTCACATCTGCATTTGGTAGCAGGCCATATTGACAAAGACCATGCAGAATGATGTATTTTAATTCCACAGCAGTGAAAGCTATGTAGTCTCTGTAAGTAGGTCTACTGGGAAAAATATCGGTTTTGGTATCGATTATCAGCCAAATAAGTTTTAACATATTGGCATATCGGATATCGGACAAAAATCCAATATTGTGCATTAGTTTGTCACTGGAGTATAATGTGCTGTATGCGGTACTCTTGTTCTTGTATTTTAACTCAAATTTCACAAATCTCCCCAGAGGAAAGACTTGTATTGCAGGCAAACATCAATTGCCTTCAATGTAAAAGCACTGCAAAAAACATTTACAAAGTAAAAGCGGAAATGTTGGAATTGCACACAAAACGATTTATATTTGATTTCTGATTTTTTTTTTTTTACTTATTTATTTTGACCACCTGTGGGTCAAATGGAGATGGCTAATGAGTGGGATGTGGCTCGCAGGTTGTTTGATGCCTGTGTAAAATAATGTACAAAGAGTAAAGTTTGTAACTTAAATTAAAAAGCAAAACAGCAAAGGGATCTGCTGAGTGTCTCTAAAATGTGTTTTTAGATGATAACAGAGGAGACCCAATTACGCCAGGAGCTTCAGATGGCTGTGGACAGTAAAGACGGCGACATCGAGCGGCTCCGGTGTCAGCTCACCTCCCTCAGCGTTCACTCTCTGGATTCCACCAGCATCAGCAGCGGCAACGACATGGAGCTAGCTGATGGATACCCAGGTCAGCTGCTGGTCTTTAGGCTCTTCCATGTGTTAGTAAATATGTAACAACACTTCTGCACGCATTTCTTATTTTCCTTTTCAACTTTTTACTCATTGCTTCCTGTTTTCCCTCCTTTTATTTCACCTCTTTCACCTTGTGGGCCTGTGTAGTGCGCATTACTCACTCTAGCACCTCAGAATCAATGTCCTTCACCTACCAGCGCACACACAAGTCCGTTTGCGTCGACACACGGCCCAACCTTCGCTCGGCTCACGCACTGTTTGACTCGGACTCTGAGGATGAAGAAGAACCTGATGAGTCTGAGGAGCGGGGCACGGGTCCCCTGGCTCTGACCTATAAACAGTCCTCTGAGCCTGAATCTGGAGGTGACCCCCGCATGGAGTGTGAAACTTGAGTTTGAGGTGGAATTTAAAACTGAAGAAACAAAAGTGTTTTCTGCATTTATGCACTGATATTTTTCCCTTGAATTCACTCACCATGCAAAGAAAATAACCCAAACCATCTTCAGCTCTGCAGTCATGGACCTAATCTCTTTACTCTGTTGACTCTGTCTCTGCTGCACTTTAATCCTTTTCAGTATTAACTGGACACACTAATACTCAGCTCTGTTGAAGCTAATTCTCTATTGTGGAGAGGCTGAAGTTTAATTCTTGATTTGCTTTAGTTTTCCTCTGACTAAAATACCTTCTGGGTCTTGTGCAGATATTCCTTTTAATTCTTGCCAGTGCCTATATTGCTAAATGTTGCTTTGTGTTAAAGCCTGGGAGCAGGATTTCCTGTCTTGCCCCTTTTTGTTTCAGCGATGAATCATTTACCCAAAGAGTGACGAGTGTCCGCTTAAAGAAAATGCCACAAACACGTAAAATGTCAAGGTGTTCTTTAAAGTGATTCAGATGATTAAAGGCTGTCCTCCGTTAACATCTTGTGTTGTCTGTGCTCGTTAGACTCCAGACTGGAAGGCTGGATTTCACTTCCTTCCAAGAACACCAAGCGGTTTGGCTGGGACAGAAAAGTAATTACCGTCATTTCTTGTATCTAGAGTTTTGTTTTTGAAGTAATCAGCCATGTGACTGAGTCACATCCACCTTTTAACTGTTTTGACCCCTGTTCCCATTTCCTTCACAGTATGTGGTTGTAAGCAGCAAGAAAATACTGTTTTACAACACCGAGCTGGACCGAGAGCAAGCCAACCCTTTCATGACCCTGGACGTCGAGTGAGTTTGAACATCCGCCTGCTAAATAGAAATACAACAGAGGTAGAAGGTGTTTTATCATGGAGATGTAGAGAAATGTAAACTGTCCTAAGAACTGAAGTTCCTGTAGCTCGTCATGAAGAAAAAGAGTTTGTTTACTAGATTTTATGAGAACAGATTTAGAACCAAGCAAACCAGAAAATAAAGCGTGAACGTCACAGTTGGGCTCATAAAAGAAGCTGTTTGAATTCCTTTTCTGGGATCCATGAGTTGACCCCATTCAGACCTCGAGCTAAAGTCAGTCCTGAGCTACTGAGTTGCGTTCAGACTGTAATAAATGTAGGAGGAAACTCATTTCAACCATCTGTATCTGCGATCTCATTCGTTCGGTCACTACCCAGAGCTCATGACCGTAGGTGAGGGTAGGAACGTAGACTGACCGGTAAACAGAGAGCTTTGCCTTACAGCTCTGCTCCCTCTTCACCACAATGAACCGGTACAGAGTCGGCAGTACTGCCGATGCTGCACTAATCCGTCTGTCAATCTCATGCTCCATTCTTCCCTCACTCATGAGCAAAACTTCAAGATACTCAAACTCCTCCAGGCAGAACCTCACCCTCGACCTGAAGAGAGCAATTTTCCAACTCAGGACCATGGTGATAGATTTGGAGGTGCCGATTCTCATCCCAGCTGCTTCACACTCAGCTGCAAACCGCGCCAGTGACAGCTGAAGATCATGGCACGATGACGCCAACAGGACCACATCATCTGCAAAGAGCAGAGATGGAATTCTGAGGTCACCGAACCGGACTCCCTCCGCCCCCTGGCTGCACCAAGAAATTCTGTCCATAAAAGTTATGAACAGAATCAGTGACATTGTGCAGCCCTGGTGGAGTCCAACTCCCACCCTGAAGGGGTCTGACTTACTACTGGCAATGCGAACCAAACTCTTGCACCGCTTGTATAAGGACTGAACAGCCCGTAGAAATGGGCCCCCAATCCCATACTCACGGAGCACCCCCCACAGTGTACCCCGAGGAACGCGGTTGAATGCCTTTTCCAAGTCCACAAAACATGTAGACTGGATGGGCAAACTCCCATGACCAGCTGGTCCAGTTTTCCGTGGCCAGGACAGAACCTGCATTGTTCCTCCTGGATCGGAGTTGATCGGACTTGCTTTTCCAGTACCCCTGAAAGAAATGTTTTTCACCCAAAGCACCTTCATGGGTGATCTGGAACCTTTTTATCTTCATTTGTTTGACTGTATGAACACAATCCATCCCGAGTTTCAACATAGAACTTGAACTGACATGACCCCACACAATCTGCAGTTCCTTCTTGGACGCCTTGAAATAAACAAATAAAAATAAACAACCCCACTTCAGCTGCCATCTGGTTTAAGACAGACAGCCGTAGTTGGAAATAATCTGAAGGTACTGCTTTTTGTAGTTTGTTTGGTTTAAATTTACATTTGTCGCTCCAGCAGCAAACTGACTTCTGATGATGTTTTTTAAAAGTTTGTTCAGTGATTTCTTCTACAGGAATATCACGTTTAATGCAAAGTTTATTAATCCTGACCTTTGTTCATTTAAGTATTTATTATAAATGATTACTGTTAATTCAATATTTGCATTTGGAAGCATTATTTTATGGCTTTTCCATTTTTTCTTTTGGACAAATCAAACTTTCTAGGATATATTTTATGTGTATATTTATTAATTTTACTTCTGGAAAAGGAGTGGAAGCTAAAAAGCTGTCCCACTATTAAGATTAAATGATGGCCTAAGTAATGTACAATGTGGCTTTTGTACAAATTTTAGTCTTTTAGTAGTTTTTCAAACGACATATTAAAATATATTTACATAAATGTCTTTGCAGTGATTTATCACTTTATTTTTTTGTCCCCATCTCAGTAAGCTGTTTCATGTTCGACCTGTCACTCAAACGGATGTGTACCGAGCAGACGCCAGAGAAATTCCAAGAATATTCCAGGTTACAGTCTGCTCTTCTTTCAGTAACGTTCATTTAACCACCCACTAAACTGTTTCGCGACTCTAAATTTTCACTTTTTCTTCAATCAGATCTTGTACCCCAACGAAGGCGAGAGTAAACGCAATCAGGAAGTTGTGATCGAACCGGCGCCGTATGAACGTCCAAACTACATCAGCTACAAGGGCCACGAATTCATCCCCACCCTGTACCACTTCCCATCCACCTGTGACGCCTGCACGCGGCCGCTGTGGAACGTCTTCAAACCTCCGCCGGCCTTCGAGTGCCGCCGCTGCCACGCAAAGTGCCACAAAGACCACGTGGACAGAAAGGAAGAAAAGATTGAGCCCTGCTGGGGTAAGTGTTCAAACAAAACGTTTGTGGGGAGCAAATGATGTGTTTTCTGAAGTAAATAGGAAATAAAAGCACAATTATCACACTTTTTTATTTTATTTTTGACTAAGAAAACATGTTTTGGATTCACAGGTGTTATAACAAGCTAACATTTTTTATTTCTATTAATATTTTTCAGGTTAATATCACTGGTTCCCAACCCTGGTCCTTGAGGAACACCATCCTACATGTTTACTTGTTTCCCTGCTTTGATGCACCTGTTTTGAATGAATGGGTGATTAACCGGCTCCTGCAGAACTTTAGGAATTAATTAAATCACTGAATCAGGTGTGTTGGAGCGGAGAAACAACTGAAACATGCAGGATGGTGTTCCTCAGGGACCACGATTGGGAACCACTTCTTTAGGCATATATATATATATATATATATCATATAGTGAGGGAAAAAAAATGTCCTCAATTGTTTTAAAACTGATTTTTTTTGTTCGATTAAAATCACAGGTTTAAATACAAAAAATTTACAAAATAGAATACACATTCACAACAAAGTTAATTTCTAATGCTAAAAATATGTTTAAAAAAAAACATCTGAAAACAGTATCTTAAAGTGTTAAACCAACCTGTTATTGGTTTTGGGTCCTAAGATGAGTAGATTTTGTATTTTCCTTTATTTTACCACGAGAAACTCACTAAGATTAAATAACGTATTTACAAGAGCGTCCTGGCCAAAACTGGCAACAACAGTTTCATAAAACTAACTTTATCAACTAAATAACAGTTAACATTAAAATAAAATAACTTTAAAATGTCTTCCTTTAAATGTGTCTTTACGTGACCAAAGAAGAATTGTTTTAGATGTTTGATTTAAATTGGAGGTTATAGATTTGAAATACATGATTGGAAACATGTTGACTCATTTACAAATAATCCCCCCCCCCCCACACACACACACACACACACAAAATCCTTATTCTACCATGAAAAAAAAAAAGCAAAAACAACAGAAACAAAATAGTTTCATGTGTTCTGTTTGATTAGCCTTATTGAATTTAAATTAAAAGGTAAATATATGTGGAAGAATTTGCTGAATTGGATAAAATGATGGATCATTTAGAAGATTTTTTCAGTTGGACTATTGGTGAAAAAAAAAAATCTTCAAGCCACAGATGACAGGAGTTACTGTAGTTCTCAGTCAGAAAGAAGTCAAAATTCCCATCTTCATCTTGAGTCAGATCAAACTATCCTTCATCTTCCTCAGTGAACTACGACATGTCCAGCGCCAAAGAGCTGCTGCTGCTGGCCAACTCCGCAGAGGAGCAGCAGCGCTGGATCACTCACCTCCTCAAACGCATCCCGAGGAAAACCCCGATGTTGAATGCATCCTCCGCAACCCTGACCTGCCCTCAGGAACCGACACTGAGCTCGTCTCCAAGGATCTCCCCAAAGCCTTCACCCAGGAACTCTCCTCACCTGTCGGCTCATCGCGGCGCCATCAAGATCCAGTCCACCAGACATCAGCAGACAGCAGAAAAGTCCAGGTGAGAAACCAGGAGATGACTAGAGAAACTGCTTTTCCTGTGAAAATGCAATGTGAATGCTTATTGTAGAGGAACTTGCTGAAAAATGGCTGAAATTAGCTAAACCATGCTGAAATGTAGCTGAAATAGAAGAAAAAGTCCAAGTTAGCAGAAGAAAACAGAAAAAACACATATTTGCTGAATTAGATTTAAATATGCAGAAATTAGCACAAAAATTAGGAAATTAGCTAAAAAAGCTGAATGTAGCAAAACATGGCTAAAAAGTAGCTGAAAAGACAGAAAGAAGCTTAAACTACCAGAAGGAAGTGGAAGGAACTGAAATGAGCTATAAAAAATGTGGAATCAGCTGAAAAAGCTAAATTTAGCATAAAAAACTAGAAAGTAGCTAAAATAACAGAAAAAGCTGACACTAATAGAAAAAATGCTGAAAGGGCCATAACGAGTTGAAATTGGCATAAAGAATTTAATTAAACTGCAGAAATTACCACAAAAAAATTGAATTTATCTGAAATCAGCTGGAATGAGCTAAAAAGGCTAAAAGGTAGCTGAAAAAATAGAACAAGCTTAAATTAGCAGAAGAAAGCAGAAAGAACATGTTTGCCCAGTTAGGTTGAAAGAAGCAGAAATGAGCACAAAAGGTGGAGATTATCTGAAAAAAAGCTGAAATTTGTAATAAAAAAAAACAGCTGAAAATTAGCTAAAAAAGTAGAAAGAAGCTTAAATTACCAGAAAGAAGTGAAGAGAGCACATCTTTACTGAATTAAGCTGAAAAAAGTTTAAATGAGTGCCAAAAATGTGGAATTAGCTGAAAAAGCTAAATTAGCATAAAAACTGCAAAATAGTAGCTGAAACAGCAGAAAAAGCTGAAACTTGCATAAATAAGCTGAAAGGAGCATAATGAGCTGAAATTAGCAAAAAGAAGTTAGAAGAAGCACAAAAATGTTGTAATTAGCAGAAAGAATCTAAACTGAGCACAAAACAGCTGAAAAAACTGCTGAAATTAGTTGAAAGCTGCTGAAAAAAAAAGTTAAAATTTTCACAAGGAAGCTGAATGCAGCAGAACCAGAACAAAATATGAAAGGAGCAGTAAAAGGTTGTAAACAGATCTAAAGATTTGAAGGATGTAAAATAAGCTCAGTTCATTTTCTCTGAGGAAACAAAATGACAGGAAATCTAAAAATTTAGAAAAGCTAAAGTTGCACCAATACTAAAAATCATAGCACTCTTCTCCTGAGCAAGCTGAATGTTTTGGGGCGGCTGTGGCTGAGTGGTTAGAGCAGTAGTTGCGAGTTCGATTCCACCAGCAGTCACATGCCAAAGTGTCCCTGGGCAAGACACTGAGCCCCTCATTGCCTTCGATGTGTGTCCCATCGGTGTATGAATGTTATAAAGCTCTGATTATTCTTTGTAGAGATCTAGTAGAGCACTGTATGAATGGGTAAATGAGGGCACAGGTTGTGTTGTAAAGTGCTTTAAGTATCTTGATAAGATAGTCCATTTACCTTTTGATATATGATTTAGTGAAATAGAACAAAAATTGCCAAAAAATGTACGGAAGAAAAATAGATCACAATAGTGTGAATGCTTCATAAACATTCACACTATTAAACTGTAATTTTACTAACCCTTCAATCATCTAAGGCTGTTTATTTACTGTAACTAGTAAATTCATTAAATGTGACAACATTGATGTCTGGGTTTCAGAGGGTCATTTTTTTATTCAAACACCTTGAAAATAATAGAAAACAGTCCTCCTCAAACATCAGGATTTAATCTTGCAGGGAAAAAAAATGGATTTGATTTTGCATCGAAAATTAACGAAGTCTGTTTCTGTTTTTGATTCACCTCTTAGAAAAATAACAAAAATACAAAAACAAATTAACATAAAAAATATTTAGAGTACTCTGTTTTATACTTTCATTTGTGTGATCTTTTCTTTGGGAGGCTCATTTGAGGACTTTTTGGCTTAAATTTTCTTGTCTGATCATTTTTTTTTTACTGAGGCTGCAAACCCAAAGTCCTCAATGCTGCAGTATTTAAAAAATGATTCAACTCAGTAAAACCTTTTCACGTCAGTAAACGTGCACCTGCCTTGCTCTAAGCTGTTTTCCTGAATCAGCTGCATAAGCAGCATTAAAGCTCACCTTTCAGAAACCTACCTGAGGAGCAACTAACTTATATTCTGTAACTTTCAAGACGCGCTGTAGGCTCAGCCCCGCCCTAACTGCCTTTCATCCTCCAGTGCTGGCCCCATGCTCCGCATCATCCTCCACTGACCCCTGACCTCCTCACCTCTCACCCTACATTTCTAAAATCTCTCACGCTTGGACACTGTAAGTAGCAGAGCTCGGTGAGCCGCTCCACCTGCTGCATGGCTGTGCACACTAACCCTCCGCTCATAACAAACTTTCAGTGGGCAGTCCCTGCTCCACGCTGCCCCCTGGTGACCGTGGCATGAACAGACCCCAACAGATCATGTTCCTTTGAACCTCGTTGTTTCAGGGTGCTTGAGTTTGACCCGAAAGACTGGAGATGGTCATTGGATGATGATGATGATGATAATGATGATATGTTCTTCTGAAAGGAGGAAGAGAGGGTAACTCAACGTTTGCATGAAGTCTGTAACGTTTGGAGGAGGTGTTGGTGTTTTACTGAAGCATGTTTTTTGTGTGGTTCCTAAATTTACGCATTTAAAGGCCGAGCGCACCTTGAAGGAAACCGTATCGCTAACAGGCAACCAGGGCTGCATCCAACAGTTAATACCAAAGTTTTAAGCAAAACTATCACACGTGACTACTACCACATGACATTTTAGCTCAGATTGCTTGAGCTACTGTAGTTCCTCGATTATCTCAAGGGTTACGTTCCACACACCACCGCGATAGGTGAAAAACTGTGAACT